TGATAATATACTCAATATCAAGTATAGAACGTATATAAATATGAAAGTTGACATAGAAATCGACATACAGAGTATGGCCTATTGCATTTAGCATGAAACAGACTGCGAATCTGTGTGTTGATATCAATATCCATTTATTTATATATATATATATACATATATATATATGTGTGTGTTTGTATATATATATATATATATATATATATATATATATATATATACATATATATATATATATGTCTATATTTCTGAGATGAGGTATTATATACACTATTTACATTATACGGACTATTGTCCTCAACTTTGTCGCCATATTTATTACAACATTTCGGCCGTTGTACGCTCCGGCCTTCTTCAGGTGAATGGAATGTCGAATTAAACACTTTATTTCGCTCACTGGGGTAGACTGTTCTAGTTCCACGTGCCATGTCTAATGTATATCAGTTATCAGTTATCTCCTGTTAATTTCCCTCTCCAAGTGATCCACTGTCTTAACCGGGTATTGAACTCACACTCTCTGGGTCCTGTAACTTAATCTAACCAACGCCTTTATCCACTGTGCCATACAACCATCTGAAGAAGGCCGGAGCGTACAACGGCCGAAACTTTGTACTAAATATGGCGACAAAGATGAGAACATTCATTGAATAATATAGACATATTATTTCTACTTACTTTGATACTGATACTTTTTCTAAAATCATCGACAGGGTTAAATTACAAAGACAAACTTATAACTGCAACAAAATCTGTATTCTATTTTGATGGCGACTTTTAATAAGATGTGGCGAGTACGCGCGAACTCATTCTCTTATAATTATTTCAAAATTTTAAATTTATCCATTGTGATTATAGATTTTTTTATCAGCGTTTCGGTATAAGGGAGCTGAACAGAAATTTGTAGAAGTCTAGAATAGCATTCAATGTAAGATGCACTTCAATATACTGTTGCTATATTCGTAATAATTTTTGTTCAGTGTTGGTTAGTTGATTTCATATAGAGGGCCTCGAGAATTTGGAGTTTTTGTTTAATGTCATCAATAATTTCTTTCCTGTATGCACAGGAATGTGTTTTTAGATATTCTTCAATAGAACTTGTATACAAGAAATGAAGTGTCAGACGTCTTGATAATGTTGTGGTTGTCAGACCAACATATGCACTTACTTTTGTCAGAGATACAATCTATGTTTGTGTGTGTGTGTGTGTGTGTGTGTGTATTGATATAATAGGAAACAACTGTTAGACTGATGATGCGAAGTTCTTTAGTATGTTTGTTTTATTAAAAAAAACAGTCAAGTATATATATATATATATATATATATATATATATATATATATATATATATATATATATATATATGTGTGTGTGTGTGTGTGTGTGTGTGTGTGTGTGTTTAATTAAAGATGTTTAAAATAAAGGTTGCTGACCAAACATACATATCGTCAGGATTTAATCACACACACTCAAAAAACACACAAGCACATGCATAAAACACACACACATAATCATTCACACACAAACACATAAACACATAATTTGTGTGTATGTGTGTGTGTATATATATATATATATATATATATATATATATGTGTGTGTGTGTGTATATATATATATATATATATATATATGTGTGTGTGTGTGTGTGTGTGTATATATATATATATATATATATATATATATATATATATATATATATACTCACACACACGCAAAGACACACACAAATACACGGTTATGTATGTACCACTGTTTGTGTGTGCTGTTGTGTGTGTGTTTAGTGACTAAATTGCTAGGACTGTTCTTAGGAAATTTGTTTCAGTGTCGCGCTAGGCAATTTCTTCTCGATAGAATTCATCGTACCTATTCATAGGTCTGCCTTAACGGGATATATTGTGAGTTCAATACCTGGTTAAGGCAGTTGAGAACTTGGAGTGGAGAACTAACAGGAGATAACTGATAACTGACATCCATTAGACATGGCATGTAGGTACCCTAGCGAAGAGCATACGGTTTCATCTAGCCATTTGAAACGTAAAATGATTTCCACGGTCGAAGAATGACACTAGACATTGCCTTTAACTTTTTGAAGAGCGTAGTTTACAGAAATGTCAGTCAGATATGTGCCATGCACGATACACGCGTAGGAGATCATGTATCTTTGGATATCTGACTGACGAGGCAGATATTTTTTTTCCCGCAGTAGGTGGTCATTTCTTTCTGCGTTAGACCAGTTGCCATCCAAGGCTATAGAACCCGGTCTGTCTTCATAGTTACCCATACCTCGAGGGGGAAAAGGGGATTCATACCATTCCCAAGGGTATTAGCACATAAGTGAATGGAACGGATTCGACTGGAATTCGAACTCGGCTCTCCAATTCCTCAATCCGAGCCGCTATCCATTACTCCTCCGGGAAAATCTAGAAGAGGATTCATACCTTTCCCAAGGGTATTAGCACGTAAGTGAATGTAATGGATTCGACTGGAATTCGAAATCGGCTCTCCGATTCCTCAATCCGAGACGCTATCCATTACTCCCCCGGGAAAATCTAGAAGAGGATTCATACCTTTCCCAAGGGTATTAGCACGTAAGTGAATGTAATGGATTCAAATGGAATTCGAACTCGGCTCTCCGATTCCTTTTTCCGAACTTCTAAGAAACTGGAAGAGAGTTGCCATTTACACCTACACTCACGTGGCAATCCCCCATCTGTTTTCTGAATCTATTTTTGAATTCATCATTTTTTCTCACACATTGACGTTAATTTTTTTTTTGATCGAAATCACCCCATGCAAGGCAGTAAAACAAAGGTTTACATGGTGTGGGACAGGTAGAAACAGGAACATTACTAAGGAGCGAGATCAAAAGAAGGCGAATCAGGACAATAGATAACGACTGACATAGCATATAAATTTTTATAGTAGTTTTTTTTAAGAATGCATAGAACCAGAAGTGAGTTCCACAAGTGAGAACTGCGAGAAAAAACTGTTACTGTCCTTTCACTGATTTGTTTGTTTTTAGTAATAAATTTAGATTAGTTATGGCTTTATTAACCCCTCGTCATACGAAAGTTTTTTAGTTTTACTGTTTCCATTATAGTCGTTCCAAGGAAACTTTCTCAAGAAGTATTGAACAAAATGGTCCCTTTGAAAGATGTGTTGGACAAAAATAGTTCCGTCATTCTCAAAGATATCTATCTATCTATATCTATCTATCTATCTATTCATTCATCTATCTATCTATCTCTCTCTCTCTCTCTCTATATATATATATATATATATATATATATATATATATATATATATAAAATATTAGTGGTAAATATACACATACATATGCAAAATATATAAATATATATACATAGGTGCATACACATACATGTATATTTTTTCAATAAAAATTCCAAGAGTATAGAATCCATGGAATATTAGTGTTTAAGCCTTTTTATTATATATAGATAGATAGATAGATAGATAGAGATAGATAGATATAGATATATGTGATAAATGCGAACATCAGCTCTTTATTTTAAAAGCTTTAGCCCAACATATCATACCATTTTGGAATGAGGCCGACTCCGTGATCAAATTAAAAACATTCCGAGCCGAGCCGGATCCGAATGGGCAATGTGGAAATTTTGATTTTCAAGTTTTCATTACTACGATTGTTTTCGGATTCCGCCATCTTGACTTCTATAGATGAAAACAATTAAAGGGACACAACTCACTAAATTTCAATATCTCATATCCAAATGAACAAAAAAAATAGTGTTCTCAAATTACAGTGTTTCAAAATAAAATCGTCCGTGTTTTCAACTTTACTCTCAGAGATCGTAGCTCAACATATTATACTATTTTGGAATCAGGCCGACTCCGTGAACAAATTAAAAACATTCCGGCCCGAATCCGGACAACGAATCCTGAAATTTTGGATTTCCAAGTTTTCATTATTGTGATTGTTTTCGGCGATTTTTACGGTTTTTTTTTTTTTGTTTTATTGCGATTAATTTGTTGTACAATAAAAATCTTTATAACTTGGAAATACATTTGGCAATAATCGAAATTAATTGCGAATTCCAACAAAAATCATCCTTGAAATAAAAAAAAATAATTATTTGTACGGAAAGGACTTACGTCCATCAACTGTCTTTAAATTAAGTGGTAGCAAAAGAACTATCATTTAACTTTTAAAAGATAAATTTAAATATTAATGCAATTGGGCGCATGATATGCATATCCCCGCCATATATATATATATATATATATATATATATATATATATATATATATATATATATATATATATATATATTTTCCATCTCATGCTTGCCAGAGGGATCATTTTTTTTTTTCTTTTCGCATTACAGGTACCGGCCGCCCGACGATTGTATAACAGAATGAAACTGAGTCCAGTGTTCGATCACTGTGCGCTAAGAATTTAATTCGGAATTATATATATATATATATATATATATATATATATATATATATATATATATATTATTATTATTGTAGCATACCTACGGACGATAATGTTATGTCCTCATTCACATAAGTACAGTATTAAATACTGTATGTTGGTCTACAGTTGGGGATTCGTCTCCAGCTGTGCTGGTTAGACTCTTTGCTTCATGGCAGAAAGGATCCCCAGACGAGGTTTTGAAGAAGGGCAGAGTCTGGTCTCAGGAAAAAGCTACCCGACCTCGTTTTATACGGGATCTAGGATACACCACATTAAATTCGGCCTTGTGCCACATCTGACCGCATGATATCCTACAGTTCGAGATTCATTGTAGAATTCATTTGACTCACTTCTAGCAGTTGACTACTTCTTCTACTCGCCGCTGTCAAATCTTATATGTGTTGTTCTTGTCCTAAGTATTATCGTTTATTACCAACGTTCGTTTGATTATTCTATCTCTCGGTTACAACAATTATTATTTTTACTATTATTATTATTATTATTATTAATTGTGACTCGTTGCAGGTTTGGGTCGACAAATGCCGAAGCGCACGCCACACAATGGCCTGCATCAACTTTACCAGATCTTACGGTTCCAGAGACAAAACCATCGGGATATGGAGGATGATGAATTTGTCAGTAAAATGTTCTTATTCTTCGACATGAATGGTAAGATGTGATTCCAAATTCGTTCGATTTTTTGTTTTTTTCCTTCTACGTTATCAAATAATTCTCGTAATACACTCATTTCGGGCGCGTATCATTTTTTTCTGGATCGAAGTAGGCTACTTGGTAAAATGAAATATCCAAGGACGAGAAGGAGAGGTTTCTCGGTGCTAGACAGTTGCCAGTCATAGCGAAAAGAAATTCTATAAAAGAAATAGTTTGTACTAGATGATCCTTAAGACTCTAATTCATATTTAGGAATAAACTGCGCTTTGTATATTAAGTCATCTAAACACTAATTCAAATTTTGACTTTCGGGCGGGCGTAGAAAAATGTTATTTTGTGGAACAGGGGACGCTTAAAATATTTTTTTTATGGATTAATGCTGATATTTATTCCCATTTTTCTTTCTTTTTTTCTTATTTCCGCATTATTCTTTTTTTTATCCATTTCACCCCAAGCAAGACGAGAATGTCACTAATACGCAGAGGAAAAATTGCAGGGTAAAAGGGGTACCGAGGAATGGATAAAAGCTGAACGGGACTCAAGAAAATGGACGATGGCGATTGACGTTGCATTTAAATTTTTGAAGACTGTAGTTATGAGGGAAGCAAGAAATCGGAAGGGTGTTCCACAGGTGGGAAGTGCGAGAAAAGAAATTGTCTCTTTGCAAATACTTCCGCCTCATTATCGTTCTTTTTTCTTCACTCTTATTTTCTTTCTTTTCTTTTCTTTATGTAATTAATTTATTTATTTCTTCCCTATTCTTTCTTTCTTTCTTTCTTTCTTTCTTTCTTTCTTTCTTTCTTAATCCTTTCCTTACGTTTCCTCTTTCTTTCTTTCTTTCTTTCTTTCTTATATTTAAATATCCGTCCTTTCAAACTTCTTTTTATTCTCTTTCTTTTTCGTTTTTCATTCCTTTCTTCCTTCCTTTCTTTTTCATATTTCAACATCCTTCCTTTAATTCTGTTATTAATACCTCCTCTTCATTCTCTTTCTTTCTTTCTTTCTTTCTTTCTTCGTCATACTTTCACATTCATCCTTTATTTGTATTATTAATACCCCCTTCTTATTGCCGTTCATGCTTTCTTTATTTTTTCTATCTTATTTTTGTCCTTCTTTCTTTCTTTCTTTCTTTCTTTTTCTTGATTATTTATTTCTTATATGTAATACTTCGTCCTTTCAAACGTTTTTAATATATAGTTTTCTTTCTCTTTGTTTTTTTTATGTTTCCTCTTCTTTTCTTCGTTCCTTTCTTTCTTTCTTTTTCCACGTTCTATCTTTAATTTGATTCTTATTATCTCCTCCTCTATTTCCTCTCTTTCATTCTGCCTTTCTCTCTTTTTTCTACCTCTTTCCACATTTCATTATTAATACCACCTCTGTTTCACTTTCTTTCTTTTTACCTTACTCTCCTTTCCTTCCTTCCTTCATTTCTTCTTTTTTTCTTTCTTTCTTTCTTTCTTTCTTCATTTCTTTCTTTCTTTCTGATATTTCCACATTCATTCTTTAACTCTTAATGTTTTTCATTCTCTTTTATATTTCTTCTTTTCTTTATTTCTCCTTCCTTTCTTTTTTTCTGATATCTTTAAACACGTCTTTTTAATCTTTTTAATATGTCCTTTTCATACTCTCATTTTTTTTGGTGGGGTGTAGGTAGGTGTATGTCCTCTCCCTTTCTTCCTTTCTTTTGTAATTCTTTTTAATTAATGCGTGAGGAATCATAACATATAATAATATAATAATTATCAATGTGTATATATTTATATATTTCCTGTCCCATCTGTAGTGGGAACGAAGGTATTTTCATGCTTTCTTTATTTCTTTCTATATATTTTATTTATTCTTTATATCTAAAAAAATCTTCTTTCAAACTTTTAATCATTACTTTTTCATCCTCTTCCTTTTTAATTTCCTCTCCCTTTCTTTCTTTCTTTCTTTCTTTCTTTCTTTCTTTCTTTCTTATATTTCCACTTCCATTCTTTAACTCTTTTAAATATGTTTTTCATTCTTTTCTTCTAGCTTTCTTCCTTTCTTTATTTCTCCTTCCTTTCTTTATTTCTCCTTACTTTCTTTATTTCTCCTTCCTTTCTTTATCTCTGATATCCCCCCTAAACCCATCCTTTCCTTTTTTTAATATATTCTTTTCATTCTCTCATTTTTTGTGGCGGGTCCTCTTCCTTTCTTATGTTTTTTTTTTTATAAATAGATACGTGAGAAATCAAACCATATAATAATATAATAATTATCATTATGTATATATTTATATATATCCTGTCCCATCTGTAGTAGAAGGGAGGTTAATCAACTTAAGTTTTTTTTTTTTTTTTAATCATTTCACCCCACGCAATTCAGTAAATCAACAAAGACACTAGTGGTTACTAAGAATAACAAAATAAAGATAAACACTATTAAGGAGCGACAACAATAAATTCATGACGTATTCATGGCTTATTTCCCTTTTTTTTTTTTGTTTTTTTATAATCTATACAAATAAAATGAACCGTTTAGTTAATCAGTCCCTTCACTCTTACGATTCTTAGATTACTGTCTTATATGTTCAAGACTTTCATGTGAGGTACTCAGCTAACCATCTCTATTAACTGATCGTCTTGCTTCAACTTAGTCTTGAAATAGGCTTTGTCGTTGCCGCCTTTGTCATTCTGTTGCTAATCTTTTTCTTCTTAGAGATATTTCCATTTCACTGTTATATTAAAGGCATAGCAGTTTAACCTGTAAAGATATTGAGAAAAAAGCGATTTATATAAGACCAGGAGTAATCAATGAACCGTAGATATCCTTGAACATCTAAAGAATATAAAAGGAAGGAGTTAATTCAACAGTCTATTGGTCTCTAGTTGTAAATTCCTTATCCCCACTTTATTAAATCTGAATACAAAGTTTCAAGAGTTTTGCTTCATTGCCTCGCAAATACTGTCGTTTCTGGTAATACGGGTGCACTAGGAATGTTATAGTCTCTCTCACCCCCACTTCTCTCTCTAAGTTCTTTCCTTTATGGTTTCAAAGACCTTTAAGTCATGCTTGAGACCCTCAGAACTGTCCACAAAAGGACAAGGAATAGCACCCTTTGGGTATGACACGGGAATGTTAGAGTCTTATTCAGAATGTAGTTGATGTCCAACGATTGAACTCCAACAGGTTCTGTAAACTTACACAAGAAAAGCCCGAAATGAAAAAAAAAAGAAAGAAAGAAAAAGAACGACTATAAAATAATAAGCAAACTCTATACCAATTATCAATGGGTATTTATATCTGTACTCTGTCCCATCTGGAGTCAGAAGGAAGTAAGTTAGACCCATGAATGTGTGATTACTTCCGTTAATAATGTATACATATCAATGGGAATATTGTCCTCATCGTTGTCGCCATATATATTAAACGTTTCGGCCCTTCAGTATCTGTCTATATTTCTGAGATGAGGTATTATGTACATTATTTACATTATTCGGACTATTGTTCTCATCTTTGTCGCCATATTTATTACAACGTTTCGGCCTTTCAGTATCTGTCTATATTTCTGAGATGAGGTATTATGTAACTATTTACATTTTTCGGAGTATTGTCATCTATGTCGCCATATTTATTACAACGTTTCGGCCTTTCAGTATCTGTCTATATTTCTGAGATGAGGTATTATGTACATTATTTACATTATTCGGACTATTGTCCTCATCTTCGTTGCCATATTTATTACAACGTTTCGGACCTTCAGTATCTGTCTATATTTCTGAGATGAGGTATTATGTAACTATTTACATTTTTCGGAGTATTGTCATCTTTTTCGCCATATTTATTGCAACGTTTCGGCCTTTCAGTATCTGTCTATATTTCTGAGATGAGGTATTATGTACACTATTTACATTATTCGGACTATTGTCCTCATCTTTGTCGCCATATTTATTACAACGTTTTTCGGTTTTCAGTATCTGTCTATATTTCTGAGATGAGGTATTATGTACATTATTTACATTTTAATGTAAATAGTATACATAATACCTCATCTCAGAAATATAAACAGATACTGAATAAACATTCCACTTCATGTCAGCACCTGAGATGGCGCAATGAGCCACTCTCTTAGAGGTTAGCCTCAGCCATGTTGATAGAAGACAAAAATGGTTCTCTCAAATTATTACAGAAGTCCAGTTTGATGTTAGAAGCGCTAATATTAACAATCCATTTTTTTCACCGTCTGATAATTGGTCATTTTTTGGCTTTGTCTTTGTTCCGTTGCAGGGAATGAATCGTCAGTTGAAATGCACTCCATTAGTTTTTTTCTTATAAATCCAAGGAATTTCAAATGCTATACAACGCTCACATCAAATATGAGTTCTCTCGTGTCGTGTAGGCTGAATTATTTTAATCAGTATTGAAAGGTTTGGGTTGGCTGGTTCATTCGATTTAGCGGCCTATCCACCTGTATGGGTTATTTAATGCCAAAATTTAAATATTTTTAACACAATTTTATGGTTTCATGTAAATATATTTTGAGCAAAATTGTATGCCTCCAGTTACAAATAAAATGCATTGCTGGTAATTTTTATGATCAAAATGTATTCCTTGTATTTTTGATAAAATTAATTGTTGATATTGGTTTAAAAAAACATATTTTTTTATACTTTGATAATGTTGTTTGGTGGTTCATTATTTGCCCCGAACTGGGACCCTAACAGTTGCTACCACCCCGGGTAAGTGTGGAGATAGGAATAACAGAAAATTAAGAGGTGGTTCCATGCTCATCACAACCTCCAATTTCCTGATTACAGGTTTTTGGTCTGACAGATTAAAATTTCCCCCGTTGTATCTAGCGAACTACATACGATAAGCAGCCTTGTCTATAATCCCCTCACCCTAAAGGCTACATAACTCCCCCCCTTTTTCACCATTAACGTAAAAAACATTTAAAATTCACGATCCAGTCACAGTTTGCATGGAAATATTGCCTTTCAAAAAATTTCAGTCAAACGAAACCACTTATTTTCAAAGACATTGAAAAATATATAATAGATATTACTGTATTAAATATATCCCAAATTCGTCAAGCCATTGACGATTGTGTCTGAGCATAAAACTGACTATCCCCGATGGGATTTAAATTCAACGTTTACATACGCTATATGCCTGATATTGAGAAATTTAACGCATAAATCTTCCTTATTATAAAACGCAGATTGTGTGTGTGTGTGTGTGTGTGTGTGTGTGTGTGTGTGTGTGTGTGTACGTTTATATATAGGATCGGATTTCCTACATTTTTCAACCGATTTCAACAAAACTTCACAGGACTGCGTAAAATTACCTTGCGGTGGTTCTGACAGCGGCAAAAATGGGAAAAACACAATTGTTTTTGCACAAACTCAATTTGAAAACACTATAAAAAACGATTCTGTCACCAGAAAATAACGATTGAAAACAAGGTTTTTGTTTGAGTTTGGGCTTGACCAATTCGTAAAAAAGACCAAAAAAAACAAAAAAAAAAAACGAATTAAGACATGCGTGTCCGTCAACCTTAAACAATAATCTTTGTCAATTTTATTTTTCAGTCTTTATGATGGTCGATACTTGATCTATCTCTTACTGTTACATCCCCCGGGCAACACCGGGCTCTACTGCTAGTATAGTATACCTTAAAACATTTGAGTCAATCTTCGATATGCATCCTGATTTTTTTTTTTTGATATTTTCGATACAGTGATTACTACTCTAGATATCTACTGGGGGCCTCGTTGACAAACACATTATTCTCTGTACCGTGAACGTTCAGGACGTTGTTGATCATGGCTCTCCACAATATCCAATCCTTTGTAGCTCTTAGTAAATTTTATCTTTTTGCAATCATTCCTAAATTCGTCAGTCAGGTTATGCGATGTTTTCCCTGTCCCTTTTACATTCGATATGCCCTGTGAGTATCAAAATTTCTAAGTCATCTTTCCTCATTATGTGCCCTTGAAATTTCAGCTGTCTCTTTCTGAAGTTAAGTATAAGGGGGTTTTTTTTGGTTTCTATTTTCTCTAAATGTTTGCCGCTGCTCACAGGTTCCGACCATGAAAGAGAACATACGATAGCGGCTCTATCAAAAATATATGTTTAGATCTAAGTTATGAATAATAATTTTTCCATTTTCTCTTAAATTTTTTATAATCTTGTATGTTGGAAAGAAGTGTATCTTTTAGGAAAGGAGATATTTGAAAACTTCCCTGGCACAAATTTATATTTTCGTAAGATTCTGTAGCGGCACTCTCCAGAATTTTCCGTCTAAGTAATTTACTTTGTCTTTTAAAAAATGCGGCATATTTTTCATCGAAGTTATGGACACAAAATGATTTTTGTTATTATCTACGTTAGTTTCAATAGCGTACTGTGTTGTTATTGCTTTGCAAAGATTAGTGATATTATGTATGGAGGCACAAACGTACCAAAAACATTTATATTAATTTATTAAAAAAAACAACAGAGTTTTGTCTTTTATTTTAAACTGAACACAATCTAGCAACCGACAGATTTTTTTGGTTCGTTCTGTTTAGCGGCATATCAACATCTATATGGGTTATTTAATGCCGAAATCTAAATATTTTGAACGCAATTTTATAGCTTCAACTAAATATATTTTGAACGCAATTCTATGCCTTCATCTATAGATTAAAATGTATTTTTGGTAATGTTACAATAAAATGTATTTCTGGTCATTTTGAATTAAAAATGTATAGTTAATTTTAAAATAAATATATATTTTGTTAATTTTTTTTTATATAAAAATGTATTGCTGGCATTATCACCATAAAAATACATTTTTACACATACATAATTTTTTGTCTTTGTTTAGGTGTTCACTATTTTCCCATAGTAGGGACCCCTAACATGTGCTACTATACTGGGTCAGGGGTTATCTGGAAACAACAATTAAATGGTGATACCACGCTTATCTAAACCTCGCCATCAGAGGCCTTTCTGGTGATGTATCGTTACTACCCAGGATTAAGCAGCCAAAACACAAAATCGTTGTCATTAAAAAAAAAAAAGCTCTTTCACTTTGACACATTTCTTTCTTTTTGTTCGTATTCTATAGCCCACTAACACGCATCTAGCTACACGTCTGTGTGCTAATAAAATCTGGTTTTCACCTTTTACCGATTAGAAATCAAGAGACAATCTGAACGGACACGCAAGCACACACTACGGAACGGCATCCATTACG